TGCTAACAAATATCAGTTACCTTGCTAAACAGAACTTGATAGAGAAAGTTGTCTTGATAAAGGTTTAATACCGTCAGAGAAAATAGTCAGCCATGGTTCAACCAATTCAATAGCTTTACACAGCGCTAATCGATAAATAGACCTCTTTCTTCTTAAAAGGACCTTCTTAAGAAGGTAACCCCTTGCGCCCTGCCACAGGAATTAATATTATCAAGATTAAACCTCTCTTTTCATAAAGTTGCTAGGCAAAGTGTTTCTCTTTGCGTTGTGAGTTTTTGAACAGTGAATTTGACTGACAAGTTTGTCTGTTATAATAAGGTTTTTGGCAGGTCTGTTAGCCATTCAACTAGTAATGATTTATATTCAAATTATACTCTCTATTTATGAACATATTAAAATTTCAAATCAATGAACACAGCTATCGTAGTATGGATTGGCCAAAAGGGAAAATTGGTAGCAATTTTCTGGTTATTAATAAGAACTTTTCACTCATACTACGGCTTCCGATTGATACGTTTGTATCTTTGTGATGATTTTTCCTTTTAATTTTATAACAAATTTGCGTCTATCATCCCTTTTAAAGATGCAAGGTTAGTAGAACTTCCCACACAGCTAGGGGGCAGCCTGTGCGGTTTCTATGTTAAACTTGATTCTCTTAACTTGGTTTGTGATCTTTTCTTAGACTAATGAATTTGCATTAATATCCAACAGAGATTAAAGAGTGAAGATCAGGGACATTTATTCTCTTATTTATATTATCTCATTTGTTTATATGTTACTGTGGACAATGAACCAAATTTTGATTAATAAATTCATATTATAAAATTTAATAGAAAAAATAGCTGCTATAACATTTTAGAGTGCTTTTACTGAACAAATTTTTTATCTTACAAAAGATCTGAAGAAATTCACCTAGATTTTGAGAATATTTGAAATCTTTATGAACAAAAAAAAAATAATCTAAATTAATACAGAAAAAAAAAAAATCATTGAAAATTCAATTTTGAGGTCGAATATCCCTAAAAGGAAAACCATTTTTCTCATAAATTTCAATAAAAATACAAATCAATTTCTTCTGCACACCGAAAATTATTCCATCTAGAGCAGGCTAAGCTGCTGCAAGTTTTAGAGAATTATCAGAAGGCTGAGTCACCCTATCAGGATGGTGTTCGGGATCAAGACAATGGCTTAGCTATAGACCTCAGCAGTGTGTTAGTCCCTCCTAAAAGCACAGTAAAAGGATCAAATCCTTCAAGTTACGATCAATATGTGGCCATTAAGGTGGTCCATCAGTCCCTAAACAAGGCCAATGCATACATATAGAACATACCTAAACTTTGAAATAATAATGCTTGCAAAATTACTTTTGAACAAAAAGAGTTAAAATGACCTTAGAATCACATTTTTTTAGGAAAATCCCTAATTTAATTATAGAATTATATCATCATTTAAGAATTATTGTAAAAAGACAAATGTCTGTGTTTATTTTCTTGAAATCCCCCATCAACCTTTGTGTCATTACCCCTCATTAGGAACAGATTTTTTTAAATATTAAGTTTTACATACACATTGTAAAAAGTATAAAATATCAAATGAATCAATAATTTCCTACCTCCATTAAAAATTTTTCAATACAGATATCACGAACATCAGAATTCTCAAGACATTTCCGAAATCTAACAAATTTCTTTCAAATGTCATTTTCTTTTTTTTCAAAATTAAATTCAAATTTTTAAGCAGCAGAGTGATTTAATATTCACATTTATCTTTTCTATTCTATTAAACCAACAAATTAATTCCAAATCACTCATATGATTGAATTAAAGATAAAATTGAGAAGCGGGATGATTTAAAAATTCATCAATGGAGATTTGACAATTAAGGGCTCATCATATAAAGATGATGATGTTGTGACTTCCACAAATTACCTGTGGAAAAAATGTCACTCAAAAAGATAAAAAAAAACAAGACAAAAAAAGAAAATGTTTGCCGGAACAAAAGCTAAAAGAATTTGATTTTGATGAGATAGTTTTGTATTTTATTAGTTTTCTGCGTGTTGAAATAACACTTGATTTACAATGTATTAAAAGTGAGCAAATGTTGTGTGATTATGCGTCTTTGTTCTTCAGTAACGGCATGTCACATAGCATGATTTAAACACTTCGCCTCTCTTCGACTTTAACATGTTCTTCATTAAATGTTAAAGTTCTAATCTTTTTTTTGTCAGTGTGCGATAAAGTAGGTTGTTTATGTCACAAAGCATACTTTATATCCTAAGCTTATGTCACAACACCTTGTTAATTATTCAATATCGCCTAATCAGAGCAAGATTTATGCAAATTCAACATAATGAATATTTTATGCCTTTTGATTTTATCACATTGTACATGAAAGAAAAGCAAACAAGGCATGAAATCAAAGAGGACATGTGCCTTCTAACTTATAAATTGCAACAAATAAAAACAAATAAGAAAAGAGTTGAAAAAAAAAGAGAATTTCTAGTTTTGAAAATGTAGTAATTAAAATGGTTTGAATTTCCTTTCTGGCGTGGCTACGAAATTTCAAAAATGATATTTTTTGAAGAAGGGAATGAATAGAAGTGTCAAGTTTGATTTATCATGAGTCAGGCTTATTTCATATTTTCGACATACTACAAATTGTTTCACATAAATTACTAGGGACTTAAGAAACAGAACAGACCTCATAATTATCTCACTAACAGTATTTCCCCTTTAAAACTCTTATTTACGAAAAGATAGAAAGGGAAGATAATGGTAGATTTTGTCTTGAAATCATCCATGAAGGAAACTTAGAGCAGACGTGAAAAGATGTGAAACTAAGGAATCCAAATCTATCTACAATACTCCCAAATCACATCTGCCAAATTCATTTTATGAAATTTAATATTCTGACATGTTTTTTGTTTGATTATTGCGATTGGAGTTCTCCCTCTAGAATTCCATTGACATAATTTGGAGGTGGAGTGTTATAAGTAGGAAAATATATATTTGTGAGTCGACGATTTGGGGCAGTTTTTATAATTCGTTATGTGGAGTTTTGTTGAGGAGAAATTGAGTCTGCTTCAGCGCTTTGAATTACTGTTAACAACAAATTTAACCCAGTTTTGCGATTTTCACGACGGAGGTTCAAGGGAAACTTGTTATCATTCCAAGATCAAATTGTTTTGAAAAGGCAGAAGCAAAAACGTGAACTTGTGTTCAAAATCGGCAGCAATCGGAGTATTAAAACAGATAGGATAAACATGAAAAATATTAAATATTTATAACAGAAGCTTTCAATGTTTGGTGTAAAAGAAAGCCGTGTTTTGGAAGTCTAGGTTTCAGTAAGATATTTGTCAGTGCTTTATGGGAAAACCTGACCGTGATGTTACCTTCTTGTTCCGCTAGCTAGCTGACGATGTATATCAAGTGATCCATTTACGCTATGTTTATTGTTTCGAGGCTCTTTTTCTATCGATATAGATATCCACCCAGATACAAGAATATAATTTGCCAACTCTCTTTGTTAATTATAGCATGGGTTCTTAAGGATAATGGAAATGACAAATGCTGGTATACTTTTATTTACATCCAAAGTTATAAACTGAGACAGGATATTGCCAATTCCGTATCCATTTCGTACCAAACATCAGTTAAAAAGACAACAAAAGATTCAATCCAGTGAATCGAAACTTAAAACTTTTTCTTAGGGTAGTTTTAAATATTCTAAACACATGGGTAATCAAAGTTCCAGCTACTGAAATATTCATTAGCCGAAGTAAAACTATAATTCTACAGTTATTTATTCCCGATGTCCTACTGTTATTTTTCCTAAATTGAGACATCTTTCAAATTTTCATCCCAAGAGTAAGTATTTCATACATTATGACATTTTAAATCTAAATTTGAAGCCATTAATTTTAATAAGAAAGGAATAGATTAGAACAATAATCCATTTCACATAAAAACCGAACAAAAAATGCCATAAAACTTGAAAATAAAGCGTTGTCTTTGAATCACTCTATAGAATGGTAATCTGTTTCTAATGAGAAGATTTGAAGCCAATAAATGTTAACCATTACATATGTTATGACTGAGTAAGGCTATAATAAACTGTTAATTATCTCATATAGATAAATATACATTCTTTCTTAATGGAATAACCATCCATATTGCATTCAAAAATGATAATGAGAATTTTTCACCTGATGGGGAATGACCTTAGGTGTTAATGGCAGTAAGAACGACTACGCCACTACTCTGGCAATAAATGCCTACATGCCTCTAATCTTTCTTACAACTGTTTTTCTTTGTCTGCGCTTGTTGTGCATTTTTTGAGAACGCTGATAGTTTTATAGTCGTTATATTTTGCGAAAAGGAGATGTGCTGATACAAGGGCTTACAGGCGACACTTTTAAACTTTGGGACAACAAGCGGAAATGTTGGAAAAACTAACTGTCATTAGCTTTTTATGAATTATTTGTTATTCATACACCGGAGGCGTGCTTATTTCAGAATTTTTGTTTCTAAAAAATATCTGTATACAATGTTGTAATATTCCCATAATGTTTTTAATCTTTGTCTTGCTAAGAGACTATGTGTATCTTGCGAATAATTAAAGTACTTTCTACAAAACAATTCAAATGTTAGATCTTGTGTGGCATTCTTTTTTCGTCACCTACATGTATTTTTCTGAATATGATGGATTGTTTTCAATTCAAATCTATTCCCTGACGTTCTAATTATCATTAATATTTTTATCTAATTAGTGAAGCCATTATTCTGTTGTTTTTTCTAATTTTTTTTTAATAGTCCAAAATTTGTTCAATACAAAGAGTTAGATTAAGATGTCTGCCATCTGAAAATCACATGAAAAAGAAATACTAAAAAAAAAAAAAAATTTTGAAAAATTTTAATAGTCAAAAAATACAAAGAGGGAAAGTAGGATAAATATGTCTGCCATCTGAAAATAAATCAAATGAAATGCTAAAATCTTCCTACCTGATTCACTATTATTTTCAAGATTATGTGATGAGTTAGTATTTGGTTGACTAGGTGGTATGGGCGTGTCCCCAGAACGAGATGATTGGGTATCGTCTTGTTGACTAAAATTCAAACTATGAGAAGGTGGACGCTGAAAATAGACAAAGAAATCAAAATTAAATGCAAATGTATAGATGATATTTCATTAAATTCAGGAGCTGTGGTGACTCAGTCAGGAAAGTTCCATGGAATTTTCTTGCTTGGTTTCCCCTTATCAGAGGTGCAGGACGGAATGTCTAGCACAGTCAGTGTCTAGTTCTTCGGATGTAATGGAAACTGAAGTCGTGTGTTCCAGGTTGTCATGCACATAAACGAACCCATGACAGGTGGATTTTAAAATATGAGTAGGTTGTAGTGTCGCTGTTTGGGCAAAATTTCGCTCATAGCACAATGTATGGCATAAAACCATCTTCATTAGTCCATCAGAGTAGAAAAGTAGGATTTTAAACCCCCATTTCATTTCATTTATTAAGTTCACTTGTACATATTTGACCATTTCTCATTTGTCAGGTTTTTCATGAAGATGAAATCGGTACCATTCCAAAGATTTGCTGCCAATTAGATGCTGCTAGAGTTAAAAATCCATTTTTTGGCAACATATTTTCAACAATCAAATTACATGCTCAGGGATCGACCAGAAAAAATTAAATCCCGACAAAACCCCATCTTTTGCAGCAGACCTGATCTAATTATGAAAGACATTAACCTTTTTAATTTCACCTAGCGTTAAAGTAATGTACAATTAAAGATTAGTCTGGTGGGAGAAATAAAATCGCACCCAAAAAGTAAACAATTAGCGTTATAAATAAACAATCTGATAAGATTATAATCCCCTTTACCTAACATACATAACCACGATAGCACTTGGTTTAACAAACTTCAAATCATCAAATATTTGCATACTTAACAGCACACATGCACACTCTTATGAAGCTTTTACAAGATTATTTTTCTATTTAGAAACTAATTGTCAGGGAGAGAATGGAGGCAAATGTTGGGCAAGAGGCTACAGCGAAGAAGTTTATTTTGAAAACAACTCGACACACATAAAAGCCCAGTAAGCTCAAACAGCTGTAAGAGAGAAGGCAAATCACAGCCCCTCAAAAAACAGTCCACGAACAAATCTTGAAATATCAATTTCAAATAAAAGAAGATCCTATTACAAGCCGGAGAAGGACTTAATTTATCAATGCTAAATGTTTGGAGTAGTTTCAATAAAACACTTTCCCATCCGGTATTGTTCTGTCTGCCTTTGTATACGTAGGCCTTGATTGACAGTTTGTCATTCATAACCCGGCTCAGGTACTTTCTTCCCTTGGTCAAGATGGTGGTCAAAGCAACTCATTCACCTAAAACTCATGTTTCAAGTCATTTTTATACAAGAATTTTTTTTGTTAAAACATGTTGTGTGCTTTTTGGAGTATGTTTACATCAAGGTGCCAATGAGGAGTTGGCAAATTTTTCACGAAAAAAATCGTCTGGTGGCAAGTGCCCTTTAAGAGCGTGTTGTATGTTGCAAATTATCAGGGTACACATTCATAATGAATGGAGTAAATAGTTAAGAGGGCTTATCTATCTCAATACCTACACTGAATCCACATGTCGAATAAGAAGGATAATGAAGAAATTCAGTTAAAAGGGGGTTTGAATTTCGGCTGTTGTATTCGTACACAAAAGAAACATCTTAAACGAGCGTTTTAATCACCAACCGTCGATAGTCAGAGAACAAACATTGAGAAGAGTTTTTATTTTTTAAAACATGTTTTTGAATCACTTACATGCATCCTTTACCAAGATAAAAAGATATTTTTGAATTTGTGTGGCTCTCTCCAAACTTTTTCATGTCACCATTTATATTTTCAAGATGTCTGCCACACAAGTTTGAATATTTTTTACATATTGATCTAAACAAAAGGGACACACGTACTCTCACACACACAAAAAAAAATTAATACCACACAGTGAAAGTTAAGCATTCAAACCACAACAGTTTATGAAACAGCAATAAATTTTGTAGTTACATTAATATAACTATTTAATAGTTATTAATTGTATATGGTTAACTAATATCTGAATCCTAAAGTCAAGTGAAGGTGACATAAAAATGACAGATTTGACAAAGGCTATTTAATCCTAAGTTTATTATAAGAATTTATTAGACACATTCTTGAAGCTTGGTTAGTTCCACTAAATTAAATCTGAATACAATAAGCAGTCAGTTTAAAGAATGAAATTGTATATTATGTATAACATAAGAACACAAACATGAAACTCCTATCTATGTTGATATGAATAATAATCTATTTGAATAGAAGAATGGAAGGCTAAACATTAAACAGTCCAGATCGTCTTTACCTCTCTTAGTTGTATTAAATAAGAGATTTTCTGACACCTAGTCACAACAGTCAATGTCTGTTAAATGGACAGAAATGTGACACCATTTCAATACCTGTCAGTCGTGCGACACAATTTTTTTATGGCAAAGATCGGAGATAGGGCAAGGTAAACTGAATTGAACTATTAATGTTTATTATGCGAGGGCCAAGCTATTGTGATCCAGTGCTGAATAACTCAGTGTTATAAACGGGCAATTTGATATTGAATTGGACACCATCTCGACCATTCAAAATGGTAATATAAATTTTATGTAGCAGTTAAGTAAAGTGATGTATGTATATCAATGTATATACCGGTAGATACATGCACGTATCATGCAGTAAAAAATTTACGAATGAACAAGAGAAATGCGGTGTTACTGATATATAGTCACACGATACATTTGATATAAGATATTCATGCCTGAATGAAAAGACTCGTGAATAAGAAGCTGGGTGTCTCAAATTTCTTCACCATGTTATTTCATTCAACACTTTAAAATTGGAGAAGCATTCACTCTTGAATAGCCTAAAGAAAAAGTTGACAAATACTAGTCTAGTCATGATTTTTAATGTCTACACTCCTGAAAATTTCCCTTTTGTACCTGTGTCCTGAAAACAGTCAAGCATCAAATAGCATGTGTAGTAGTTATTCGACTGTATGTTTAATATGCTTATAATTGTTGTACAAAGACCATATTTTGCCATTTGTTATCTGTTTGTCTCAACTGTCAGCCAGCCACACTTCCACTTTGTTATTCTATGAAATATGTCTTCATAAATATTATCATATACCTTCTAATACAATTTCTTCAACAACTGGATTTTTTACAGAGAGCTTATTATGACAGAGGTCAAAGTTTAGAGCCCTGTATGACAATGTGGGTGGGAGATACCCCCAGATGAGATTTCTGTGCATACATTGAATAAACTAATAGACTAAACAAACTGGACGTTTTTTCATTTGTTGCTAAATATATCATATGTACTAATATCAATGTTTATTATCTACAGTGTGTAATTATGTTAAAGGTCTTTGCAAGTGTAGCTTGCACAGATTAATTTATTGGTTCAGTTCAAAAGAGAGAGAAGGAGAGATAGAGAGACAGAGAGATTCACTCAACATAAACTAGGTCAATTTTGGACTAACATACAGAATAATAACTTTATCAGGTGCAGGGATCTTCAGCAGTGGGGGGGGGGGAGTGGGGGATCCGAGAACTGGAAGATAACCCCATGAGGTCAGCTCAAAACAAGTGAATTCTACACATTTCTTTCATGTCATAAATGCACACTGTAATCATAAATAAAGTATCCTCAATATTCAAGTCTTTAGGGTTTAAAGGTGGCCATTGGTGACAAATGAACAAATTGGTGTGCATGTAAAAGAAGACAAGTAGGTGGAATAGTCTATGTCTGATCAAAATTCTCCACTTTCATATTAGTATTACCCATATATCCAGTGACATAAAATTACTATATGTTAGTCTCAAAATGACCTTAGCATTGTGTTGACAAGACTCTAAACTCCATTTGTTGACAGGTGTTAATCCCCCATTTACTCAAACAACATACAAGCCAGACCACATAGTCCCACTTTAACGCTAAACCATGACTAATATGCAGAATCAGGTGGAAAGGTGATAAAGGAAATATTTTAGCAACAAAAGCTAAAGAATATTTTCTCCAATATATCAATTTAGTTAGACAATATTCTCCATAAATTTAAGCTCTTATTTTCCCTTTATTCGGCCATCTGTTGAAAATATGTTTTAAGGATCAATAGACAAGAAATTGTGCATAAATGCATCTATATACAAATTGAAAATTTGGCAAGAATGAGACATTGATCTTCAGCGCAACATATTTTGATCAATTCTTTACCATTCAGTAATATATCATTTTCAGGTAATAAGTATACTTAATTTCAAGTATTATTTATTTTTGTACTATTCTAATCTTTTCTTATTTATTTCTATATAACTATTTTCATTATAAATCTTTTATAGCTAGTGGAACATGTGCTCTATACAATAAATATATATTTTACTCATAAATTATTTAGAAGTTAATAAAAAAAACTTAAATTAAAATTATGAAGGGCCATATAGTAAATACATGTGTATCGTAGTAACAGTTGTGCAAGACCAATCATCGGAATATTATAAAATATAGTTATTGAATGTCGTAAGTTATTGTGTATGCTACTGGTTGAAGATTTACATACAAGAACACAGGGCCAAGGACTACTCTGATTAAAAAGATTTATAAATCTTGAAAATATGAAAGCCTGCTTTATCAGGGGGAATCACGGACCAAGCAACCTCAGATTAGATACACCATGAATGAAGAAAATGCCCAGTTTGATAAGACAGGGCCATTATCTCTGTATATACCCTACTTATAAATAGTAATACAAATATGTCAACAGCATCATTGCTATAAATAGTAACAAATAATAACCCGGAAAATATCCTAGTTAAGGTTTAAGAGGTGCATATTGAAGAACGAGGGTATCAGAATCACCTGAGAGAACTCTGAAGATGAGTGTACTAGAAAAAGTGGACTACTTTCAATTTTTCCCTCCTTTAAGAGGGTACAATATTGCATAATAACAGAATGAAGAGGCCTAATGCACATCATAAAAGTGTCAGAGTTGAAATAATCTCATAAAAGCCACAGCATAAACTTTCCACCAGGAGTTTTGAACACTTTC